CTACGGTCTGCACGAACTTTTCGAAGATAATATGGAAGAAACGTTACCAGGCAGTTGACAGTAGCGTGATAAAAAGATAATTGGAACTCTCGGTTCACTAGGCAATCTTTAAATATAAAGACAATTACAACACAATTCTATTCTCCAGGGAAACACTTAAGTTTTACATTTGGAGAAACAGGGCATGTAGATTTTCCACGATTCTTCCTTCCGGAGGAATTCGATCAGCTTCGACGGCATTCTTCACCTTGAGGTATAGGAAGGTTTTTAGGATTTCTAGTTTTGCAAATGGATCTATACTAACTTCTAGAGCTGGCAGAGAGTTAACGGTAAGAAATGAGGGATGTGGAAGGTAGCCGTTGAGCAACTGCTGGAAGTGCTCAGCCCATCTTTTGAGGCGTTGATTCCGACCTGGCAATGGGACATCTTTAACGTCTTCAACTTCTGAAACGGAAGCAAGTTCATCATCAATAATTCTGTTTTTAAAACTAAATCAATTTCGCCATTATGTAAAATCATTTTCTTAAAACAAACGCTTCACAGAGACAGTAAGACAAAAGACATTAAAAGTACAACTAAGTTTAAAACAAACTACAGAACACTAAACAGGCAAATGTCCGTAAAGTCTTTGCTGCCAAAACGAGCCCTATACGGACGAAAAACAGAAAACTTCAATATACCGCAAGAAATACAGTACATGTTTAAAATATCTATTTTCAACCCGAAGAAAGTATGTACAAACGCAGATGTAGCGGTAAAGATGAAACGATGAACTCTACGACGATACACACTACAAGTGTAACAGACAGGAGAGATATAAAAGCGATCAACAAATACAAATAAATACACAGACTCGAAAAGCTTTTTTAGGTCAAGAGTCAAAAAAGGGCTCAAAAACTGTGACGCGTTCAAACGTGAGGGAAAAATGAAAAAGGCGAAATACTTTAGAAAATGAAACTATCTGACTGATAGGAATCGCAGGAAAGAAATGAAACCCTAACAGAAATGAACAGATTCCTAAAATTAATGGAATCTACTATCAGTGATGACGTACTAATGGTGTGAATAAAAGTGGAATTTCCGGCAGGCCGGTGGAATCTCCCCACCGCTGTACTATAAAGTTCAACAACGTCAGCTCCTAGCCCAATAACTTCAGTATAACGACACATAATTAAGAAACGGCCGTAAAATGACCGTTCGTCTTGCCACCTGGACAGCATACACTGCAAGCATTGGTGGACATCTTGTCGTTAACATGTCGACCACAACGAGCACACATTGGGCCAGAATTCTGCTGCAGCTGCTAAAACATCGTCTCGTCATGAAAACAAGTAAACAAATAATATAATAAGAACAATGTTTATGATTATACAAAGATTTAATACGCGATCCAACGCTTGGATCGAAATTAGGCTTGCTGCTACTCCACAATTTTATCATACAATTCCTGGGTCACTTAGCAAACTAAGAAACTGCAAAATCATGCGTAGACAGGAGGAGGGCAAAGTAAACGGGTAAATAAGAAGCTTTATTCATTTATCGAAGAGATATTTCCATTAAATAAAATCAAATGACAACACTCGTATATTAGAAAGCAAAACATTAATATACCAAAAACAGTAAATATAAACCATTATTATATCTGATGTATTGCTATGGCGAAGTATAGTGTACAGACATAATATCAAGTCATTCTGGGTATCATGTCAAGTCGACGATGTTGTCTCGTATGCTGTAACTTCGCACAGGCCTCCTCGCTTTTCTGCACTAATTAACACCCAACTACTACAGGTACTGCTTAATTGCTACAAAACCAGAATTCTTTGTCCTACCGTTCCGATTCATAAAGACTTAACAGTTTTATCGTACGATACTGTTTTGGCGAGAAACACCAATCTGACTCTGTCAAGAAAACTCCAGTGCAGTCTGGAATTTCAAACCGCCATCGGCCAGTTGACACAAGTCTGCAAAATCGATGAACCCACGATCCTTTTGTCAGCAGCATCAACAGCAACAAACAAGATCAACCAAATTGCAATGAACATGGAGTGAATATACTGATGATATCCCGTTATGCGCTGTTTTAATTCTAATGTCATGGCTGCACGAAAAATGTCGCTGATGCCATTATTTGCTTCTTGAAATAGTTTCTTAGAACCGACAGAAGCTCCGTGAAGCAGTGACTTGGATCCGTCGTGAATACTGCTCCATTTGCTTCGTTTCTGAACTACTCCTTCAAAGATGTCCAACACTTATCTTACATGTAAAAGCCACGTTGGAGCAGTTACTATACGATGAACGTTTATACTGTCCCACCATGTAATCCATAGGATCTGAAAGACTGCTCCAACAGCCGGCGTTAAGATATATTAACTTATTTCGGAATTATCTTTTCCGTGTTTGCTTAACACTGATACATTTTCCCCGCAAGATCTGTGGACTAGCCGCCCCTACCACAAAGAACCAGTACTTTATTACTTCGTTTATGGCTGCCCTTTACCTTCCTAAGTTTACTCCTCTTCAGTGATATATGGAGGACTATGAATGAAAGACCATAAAGTTCCACGATAAGACGTTTTGCTGATGAATCAGATAAGTAGCATCAGTCAAGAATAGATAACGGAACGGAACGGGTTGTAGTACAGGTTAAGGTTCTCAAAGCAGCGCCGGGTGGCATCCTGGGTCAGTCGCTGCTGAATGACCCAAGTCGCCGACTACACGTAAAGATCTTAAAGGGTTGTTCGCAGCATACTAGCACAAGAAACAGCTACACATCACTGCCTGGCTGAACAGAACTATACTGCTGTTTACTAATACCATTACTATCGATAGTCATGTAAAACCTAGAAACGCAGGAAACCGTCTTTTTCAAAAACTTGTGCGGAATAACACGTTTGATATAACGTTAATCTTTATTAACGAATACTAAAGTTAATCAGTGCATATTCTAAAAGCATTTATGCATTTCCTGGTAGCAGTGAATTCTCTATATGCTGATAAACTTTGATAAAACTGATTTATTGATTCAATTAGTCAATAGCTCTGATAAAACAAATAATTGGTTATTCAGCATATCCTAAAAGCAAAACCAAAGGCAACTCTAACCTTTTCAATCTTATCTATCTCTGAGTACAGTTTTCGCTTGAGTTGTTCAAGCTGATAGTGGTTCATGAAGTCGATGCCGCCAGAAGAAACGTTGCCTAGCTGCATCATTTGCATTTCCAGTTGTACGTAAGCAAGTTGCGTGAGAGCCTACAAATAAAAATAAAATAACGAAAATTTAAATAAAAACAAAACTTTGGGAAGAACAAAATCGATCAAAGGATCCTTTTCATTCAGTGTTAACAAGTATATGAGGCATTACACAAAGCACTATTCAATATTAACATCAAAGGAAAGTAAAAAAACATCTGCGAAATGCAAATGCTATTTTAATCAAACTAAAGAGGCAATTCGCTGATCAGCTCAAGAAGAGGAGTTATTTCCTACACAAGAGCTGTCAGTCATTAGAGGGTCAGATTCAAAATAGAGAGGACCCTGGTTTAAACCCAGATCAGGCTGTTCGCCTTTCACCTTTCTAAGTAGATAAATTAGTAATTCAAGGGAAACAGGAGATTACACGTTATAGTGGTTATCTAGTTGAATATATAGCCATAAAAACAAGAATAGGATCCTATATGACGGCACGAAAACGGAGACTAATGCCGATAAAGGTATGTGCCATAA